AGCCGCGCCGGGGTGACCCTCACTGCCCAGACCCGTCACCCCCCCTCGGAGCCGGTGCAGCCCCTCGCTGCAGCCCGGGGCGCTGTCCTAACAAAACAAAAACCACCTCGGAGCGTTCCCGTCATCACCACGGTTGTTTATTCTTTTCCCTCGGCTCAAAGCGGACAATTTCTAATTGCATTGACAGCTCATTAACCGAACGGCTCCCGCCCCCCGTCTGGTCTTTAGGGAAATGCACAATCGGACAATGACAGGGAAGGGCACCGATGACTGCAGAAGTCTTCCATTTCAAGCAGCTTTCAAGTAGGTTTCTACATGAACCAGTGGGACATGAGAGGATCCCAGGAACGGTGACAACTCAGGATTTCAGGAAAAGCACAGATTTCATTGGGAATTTATGATCCAAGGCAGCAAGCCCTACACTTGAATCAAAACATTCTAAGGCTCAAACTAGGACAGTTCTCAAATTACTGGCTCTGAGGTACGTTGGACAAGTAAAAATTACCCCTGTAATTATTTTCAAAGAAAGGCATATAGTGTTAGTTGCATTAAATGTAGACACAGTGCAAACTCTTGTTTTCAGCTGGGAGCCCATGGGCTGCTGTGTCACCAGGTGTGTGTTGGGTGCAATGCTGAACAACATTGTCTCACGGGGGGTCAGGAGAGTCAGACAATGGGCCCTGCAGGAGCTCCAGGCCTCCATTCCCTGCTGCCGAGCTGCTCTGCTGTCCCACAGTGCCCTCCCAGGGACAGAACTCTCCTCTCATCCCTATTTTATCAGAAATCATCCAAACACCATCACACAACACTACATGGCCAACACCCAGAAGACACTGACATGAAACAGCTTTAGGGAAAATAAAGAACTGTTAGCAATTGGTACTGGCAGATCCTTCAGTGCCCATAACACAGACAACACCTGGAGTTGGTGCTTTAAAATAACCAGGTTGTTACACTGGTGAGTGCAGGTGACAATGACTCTCCTGCATGGCAAGTCCCCACAGCCATGGCTAACAGAGCTGCTCTCTGCCTCTGCTCCCCAGGAACACCTGCACTGACCCTTCACCCTCTCCCCTGGGACCTGTCTCACTTCACAATTATCCTGCTCAGGAATTTAAACCAGCACAAACCCTTTATTTAAAAAACCCCAGTGTCTGCCACTTCCCTTTTGCTAGAGGTAACACATCTGAGCCCATGGGCCCAGTCAGGCCATGCAGGACCACAAAGCCCTGCAGTAACTAAGGTTCCCATTTTCATAACTGACACTCAAGGAAGAAGTTGGGTTGCTCCTTTCTTCTTGAAGTTTTAAAAGTGGTTTTGTTTTGGTTTCATGTTAAAGATGTCTGCAATAATTCTAATCTTAAAAAAAATAATTATGAATTATTTCACTTTAAAATAGGGTTGGGAGAAAAGAAGCAGCAAGACCCAAGTTCACTATTTTTTTCTGGTATTGCAGGAAGGTTTCTGACTTGTCTTACAAAATAGCACAAGATGAAACAAACTAATCAACCAGTTGTTTCTCCAGTTTGAAAAGGACACAGTTATTTAATTGAGGTAACTTTTAATATATATAGATGTGTTTAACTGCAATGTTGTCAGGATCATCCAACGTTCTGCTAAGCAATTGTCAGCCCACCTTTATGAATAAGGAGATTTGATGGCACCTTCAGAAACAGTGAAATAAAATTGCAAAGCAAAAACCAACTTGAAAGCACTTATGATTCAATTTCCCATGTTCTGCACTTGGAAAGTTTTTCCTCCAAGTCAGGAAAGTTAAGAAAGAGAATCTCAGGGTATGGACGGGATGTGATTGAAGTGATGCACTGCTCCAGTAACAGCAGAACTGGAGAGGATCTGGGGAGGGCTGAAAGACCCATCTGTCTTCTACTATGATCTCTGACAGGTTCTTAACACTCTTTTTGTGCTTATGCAGAGGTGAAACTAGAGGACTTCTAGTTTGGGGAATAAAAGCAATGTGATTTTATTTAGCTTGGATTGCAGAGGATAGTCAGGAAGACCCAGGGTTTGGCTCTGCACCCCCAACCAACAGGGGTATCACTACGGGAAGGGAGAGAGGGAGAGACTGGGAACAGGCTTCTGTGACCAGGGAAGCACTTGGTCACACTGTCCTCTCCTGGACCCCTCCTTCCTCCTTTTGTCACACAGGCACTTTGTACACACCTAGGTCCCCTCCAATTACTCAAAAGTTGGTCTTCATTTACTTATATCCTGCAACACACACTAACAAAAGGTCCACAACCCTCTCAGGAGTTTGGAACACCAAGCTGAGGATGCAACACTTCCAGTATTGACAAGGCAAGCAACAGAATGGGAAAGGAAAAATCACATACCTTTCAAAAGGTATTTTTAATAGTTTTCTTTTTTGCTAATGATGCTCCACATCCACCCAGCTGTGTCCAGAGCCCCCGGGCTGCCCATCCCTGAGGCACATGGGGACCTCCCTTCTGACAAACCAGGGGCAACGTTGCAGGGCACGGAGCAGCAGGAACCTTCTGTACCAGCTCTACCACAGGATTTACCTTGCTCAATTTCTGGGTCAGCAAGTTGTACACCAACTCACTGGGAATTTGGCAAGTTTGTCATCACCAAATCACTCTCACCGATCATCTTCCCTCACCCCTAGATGGGAACAGTCACATTTTTTTTCCACTGATTTTAAAAAAGAATGCTTGAATTTTAGTGACAAAGGACAAGGGCCTCCTTTGGAAGCCTGTCCTGGTGTGCCAGCTGCTGCACTGTCCAGTTTGCATCCTGGGGATCAAGGCTTAGAGTATTGTGCGTTACTCTTAACTCCTACCTTACAGTGAGAAAGCACCTTGAATGCAAATCAAAATGCTTTGAAACAGCAGAAATAAATTAAACAAATGTAATTAGTTTATAAAAATATTTTCTTATAAATCTTTAAAGCTTATAAAAGCCAGAAAATACATTTAAAAGAATCTCTGAAACATTTCATCCGTTGAGGTGTGGTTACAGCTCAGAAGGTGAGAAGAAACAAAGCCCAGACCTGTTAACGTTTATCTTCCCACTGGGAATTTTGTAGTACACCATGCTCAACCTACAAACCTTTGACAACCTTCCCTGGGTCAACTCCCCCTGTCAGATTACTTCTGTTTGAAAATAAAGAGCTGGGACTGAGCTGACAAGGCTGCTGTTTAGACAGACGTGGCACAATTAACGTTTCCATAGGCACTGTATGGAAATCGGGCCGTTGGTGGTACCAGCAGCCAGGAGTGAAGCTAGAGCAGGGGACATGTATGCAGTACACAGGTGCCAGTTTCTAACAACTCCTTTCTGAACTTACATTTTCATATTGGTGGGCAAGTGGTATCACCTACAGACACACCACTGTCTTGGCCACCTCGTTTTTTTGGTCATGTGGCATTTAAAAATACCAATATTCCTGTTTATTGATTATGGGATATATCTTTGTAATAAAACTAAAATGACCTTGCCAGTCCATCCAATATTTCAACTGCATCAATTGGTCCTCTTGCACTTCCACGAAGACTGTCCTTCGTCCTGCAGCTTTTTAAATTTTGGCCCAAGTAGAAACCACCAGCCAAATCCCAGGATGACACAGATGATGGATTCCACGTAGTAACCGTCCAAGGTGGTGACACAGGAACCACCAGCTTCAGTGCAGAGCTGAAACACAGAAGCTGGTGCATTAAGTAACCTCCAGGAGATACAGAAACACAGACTTCCAGAAAGTAGGCATTAGAGCCACTGCTATTTACTTGCTCTTGGCTATGACTAAATAGATTTGTTTACTCTTGTTTCTTATAGAGTTGGTAAGAGAGGTCTTTGAGCTTCCTAGCAGTGTGAAAAGTATGTAAATGTTATAGAACATTGGGTTATAGAACCCAAGGGGGCAGTGTGAAAAGTATGTAAATGTTATAGAACAGTTGGGAAATGGAGCACATTGGCCCAAGGGGTTAACTCTAGACAACAGGAAGTGCCCAGCTGTCTCCTGCTGGCCGGGAGGTGCAATCACTGCTTTGAACCCCGACAAGAAAGATTGGTTGTTGGTTTTTTTTCCTAGCCATCCAAACTGCTTCTTCAGAAATTACACCCTTGCATCTCAGACCAGTGGATCTGCAAATGCACAGTCCAAAATGCCGAGTATTTCTGGGAAAAACAAGCCCAGGGTGTTTTTTAATTGCATAAGTGGAAGACAAAACCTCCAGCATTTAAAGGGTAAGCGTACAGCACATGAGAATTACTGCTATTGTTCAGCTTTCAATACTGCTATAATCCCAAGATAAATCAAACCTCCAAGCTGAGGTTCTGCCAGCGTTGTCATTATTCAGAGACATGTCAAGATCAGATTAGGAATAAGAAGGGAGTGGTGGTGGTGGAACATTACCAGCTGGGAGGCTGTGAAAAAAGATCAGAGTGAAGGAGGAAGGACTTAAGCTCAGCAGAGGCACAGACACAGAGAATCCAATTAGTGGGAAGCCAATAAGACAGGCAGAAAAAGCAACTTTCCCTCAGCAGCTACTGAAATCTGCAACTCCAGTTCAAACATGTCATGGATGATTCCTGGAACACTGTTTATTTAGAGAACCTCTCCAGCACAAAGAGTCCTGGCATTCAAGGGTGAAATAAATCTCAGTCATAAGTAAGTGAAAAAGAAACACTCAACAAAAAACTCTCAAACATTTCCACCCTTCCAAAACGTTCAAATTTCACATTTCCTCATGAGAAGGTGAATGTGAAACCTTGCTTTCGGGGCAGTTTTGTGTCCTGCTGTGTGAGCTGTGTCCAGCAGCACAGTGTGTTCTTTGTTCTCTTCCACAGGGCTACCCCGAAACGGGAGGACAGCCAGTCCCACCAGTTTCACACGAAAAGTGAGGACCAAAGGCAGAGAGCAAAGTAACATCATGGAGCAGGTATCGAGGCACCCAGAGAGGATGCTTCCAGAAAGAGAGGGAACGAAAACCTACCACAAAACTTAGGTGGTTTGGGGGACAGTTTGCCAAGAACAGAGTACCCAACTCCACAGCTCTGAACTTAGCAAGGTTTGGTCTCAAAAATGTAACTACAGCCTCTTTACACTGCAGGGAATGTGGCAGCAACCTCACACTTCGGCCACCAGGTTTTCATCTCAGCCCAGAAAGAAACAGACACCTACTCTGCAGCTGCAAACCTTGGGTAACAATGCTAGCAAGATTAAAACAGACTTAATTTTGTCAGACAGGACAATTAACTCAATTAGTGGGAAATTTAAAGCATTAGCTATGCACTACAAAGCTTTTCAAAGGTGAAAAAATATACTAAGAGAAGCCATTTAATCAATAAATAATTGAATAGAAACCTTCACAGCCTCCAAAACTTACTTCTGCAGCCACAGTGGTTCCACAGGTCTGGTCCTGGGCCCCTGCACACTC